TTTTTTTTTTTTTTTTAAGAGAGTGAGAAAGCACATGCACTCGGGGAAGAGGGTGGGGCAGAGGGGGAGAGAGAGAGAGAGAGAGAATCTTAAGCAGTCTCCATGCCCAGGTCAGAGCCCAACCCAGGGCTCCATCTCACGACCCTGAGATCATGACCTGAGCTGAAATCAAGAGTCAGACGTTTAACCAACTGAGCCACCCAAGCACCCCTTTAACTCCCCTCTTCTAATGCTCTTAATCTTTGACCACAAAAATCTTTGCATTGGAATGCTCAGTATCCCTTATGAAAATCATGGAGATAACTGCCCTCATAATTTTCTTCATCCTCTATTTTTTCTTAGCGTCCTTCCACTTCACATTATTTTTACTTTTTTGAATATTATTTGTGATAAATTTTTTGCTTCTAATAAATCAGCTTCTTAATTCCTGGTATGCTAACTATAGGATTTGATATATGATAAACACTTTGGTTTTTTTGTTTTGTTTTAAAATAAAAAACTTGATCAGCAGAGTAGACTCTCTCATTTGGGCTTTTCCACAGTGAAATAGCTGAAATAAAGGCCCAATTGTTCACAGCCTCATTTCAGGCATCGTTACTTGAAATTCGCGTTCCTGTGTTAATCTGAAACCTCACTGGTTGGCTTCTTCTGCGGCTCCCTCCCCGCCGCTGTTTTCCAGCACTACTCCATGGCAATAGCAGGCGCACTACTGCAGTGCAGACTAAGAGTATGTTTTCGTGTTACTGTTTCCTGAATATCACCCTTCAGAGACATCCAGAGAGCTCCACCATTACAGGCTGTGCTGCCAGTCTTGGGATCCTGAGAAATATGGTTCAAATACCCAATCCTAAATGCACTGTTTACTCCCCTATAAGCCACTGTAAACCCAGTATCTGTGTTGTCAGCCTCTATGAGCATAAGAAAGCAGCTTACATTTTGATGAGTTTGAGGTCATCTGTACAGTCTGTGTGAGTGAGAAATAATTCATTGCCTCTTAATTTTCTACCGTAAGTTTACCTACCATAGTTAAGCCACAAGTTTATTGAGAGATTTTAGGGGAGTCATTTAGAGAATAAGGCTAAGCCACTCCCTTTGAACCTGAAGAGAATCAAAGAATTGATAGACCTCTTAATTTTTGTTCCACAGAATCATCCTGATGTCGCAAACAAATTGGCTACTTGTCCCTTCAATGCTCGCCACCAGGTTCCTCGGGCCGAAATCAGTCATCATATCTCAAGCTGTGATGATAAAAGTTGTATTGAGCAGGATGTTGGTAAGACTAGCTAAAAGGTTTCAGTCCTAGAGGTTAGTCCCTTCAGATTTGTATTATGCTCCATTGTCACCTTGATATTTGGCTTTCATCATTTCAGAAGAATAGTACCTTTCTGCCCTTGAGTATTTTATCTCATCAATAAAAGGTTGTCAGGCTGTGTTTATCAGACTGCTTTCTCTTCTGAACAATCTGATCCATCTTACCAATAATTCATCTAAAAATAAAAATCCTTTTATTGTCATAAATATGGTAAACATCTTTGTTTCAGCTTCTCTTTCTTCTGCAAGGGAATAAGACCTCCGCTTAGCTTTCGTAGCATCTGTTTTTCAGAAACAAAGACGTATTAGGCTACCCTGAAACATTTTTAAGCCACTTAACCCCTTTAAACATAATAACCTGATGATGTCCCCTTTTTACATCAGAATCTTTGTTATCTTGCAGTCAACCAAACCAGGAACCTTGGACAAGAGACTCTGGCTGAGAGCACATGGCAGTGCCCTCCTTGCGATGAGGACTGGGATAAAGGTGAAGTGTCTGTACATCTTTTTCTCACAATGTCCAAATCGCAAGTCATTCGCTTTAGACAGAAGGAAGATTTTCCTTTTTTAGGAACATACCATGTTGTTCGGAACGCCTTATTATCTTTATTGGGCCCCAAAATGAGCACATTTGTATCACTGTGCAGACACATGGAACAGCCTATCCCTCTTGATTGGAAAAAGCACTTCTTTACATCTGTTTTTTTCCATAAATTATGTTGTACCATCTGTGTTTGGTTGTTACTGGGCACGTTTATTATTATTTATATTGCTTGTGTTTATACCCTTCAATTAAATTCCCGCTACTGTGTCACTTCAGCAGGGTACTTGATCAATTTTTAAATTTCTCTAAACTTAGGTGTATTATTTCCCACCTTACAGATTCAACTAGCCTAAACTGGTGTTTTACCTAGAGAGTCACAAACTGTGTTCTTTCTTTGGCAGATCTGTGGGAACAAACCAACACCCCATTTGTCTGGGGCACAGCCAACTACTGTGGCAACAACAGGTAAATGAAATGGGCTCATTCCCAGCACTGCCTCCCAAAATCCAGGTGACCTGTTACCAAAAGAAGCCACCAAAGCATGATTTGATCTCTTTCCTTAATGATGTTACTTGGTGGTAACTTAGTCTAGATAGTTTGGATGGGTTATTTTCCTTATTTATTCCTCAATTCATAAAAAGGTCACATGCTTTGTGTTAATCACTATGGGAACACAAAAATACTAGCTTATAGTCTAGCAAGAGAGACAGTGATACCAGACATTTTTATGTCTAAGTTGGGGTTTTTTGCTGAGCTGGCATTATTTTAATACTTTGAAAAAATTCTCCAGCGACACCACTCTGGGTAATTAGTGTCTAAGGAAAAGTAATCCTGAAAGTTCTTGATTTGAAAATGGGCAAGCCAGAGTACCTATTGGGTAGGGAAGAAAATGCATCTCTTCTTTCCACTGATTTTGTATCTAATTTGTATCTAAGCGTGGGGCTTGAACTCATAACCCTGAGATCAAAACCTGAGCTGAGATCAAGAGTCAGACGCTTAACCACTTAACCGACCAAGCCACCCAGGCACCCCTTTATCTAATTTAAATCTCTGAGATTTCTCATTACTGCTTCATCTTCAAACCTTAGAAGATCAAGTTTCAGATATTCAGCAATAAGAATATTTATGGATTAGAAAATGAAGGAATGAGATTCCAGACTTCATTTTTCCCCAAATAGAATGCTTATCAATTTTTCTTAGCTCCTAAGATAAGTTAGTAATTTGTACATGTACCTTATTTTGTGTGTGCACTAAAATAGAAAAACTTAAAAGATGAATTTTAATAGTACAATTTTAATTTTACCTCAGTTCTATGAGATAGGTTGCCTTTGGTTTGGTTGTCTTGGCATTTTATTTTATCTCTTACATTTATTGAGTGAATTGATGAGCCTGTCATATAACTGAACAGTAGATGGCGTTGCTGTTTATCTCAATTTCTGGAAAATGAAAATGGTTAGACCCATCTTAATGCTTGTACAGAACAGTGAGCTTTTCAGAGAAGTAGTAATCATTCTAATTGCAAGAATGTTTTGATGGAAATGTGTTTACATTTCAGAATGTAGTTTGCTGTTTTCCCCAAAATTACAAAAACCACATTTTGATTGTCTTGTGTGTGCCTGCCTGAAGAATACAGATATGCTGGCATAGGCAAATTTGTCTTTGTTTTTGCAGCCCTGCAAGCAATATAGTTATGGAACATAAGAGTAACCTGGCTTCAGGCATGCGTGTTCCCAAGTCTCTGCCGTATGTTCTGCCATGGAAAAACAGTAAGTGAAATAAAGGCAAAATGCTTTTACTCTTTTCATTGTGCTAAATACAGTTGGTCTTGATTATTCAAAGACATAGTGTGAACACATTGCACTCACATGACCCTGAGAGTGAGTGCCTCCTTAAATTTTGCATTCTGAGCACCTCAGCCCGGCCCTGGTTAGTAACAGGTGTAACAGGAAATTATGAATAAGAAAGTACAAGGTCGCAGAAACCAAAAGAATATTTTCAAGTTGGGATGACCACTGACATCAAATACCTTGGGTAAATTTGGAGACCAATAAAAGGCTACTGATACTGGGTAGGAGGAAGTCATCCCTGACACTCAAGGCATAATATCAGTAGAAATTGGGATTAGAAATTGGATTGCAGAGACCTAAAAGGAAATGAGTAGAAAGAAAATGAAAGTAATAAGTTATAGGAACTAGCAGAAGAATAGTATTCTGATGTCTTCCCTAGACATCAGAAGCTGTGCCAAGTAAATAGGTACTAAATTCATATCATATCACCCTGATAAATTCCCACATATGGAACACCCAAGATACTATCATTTTTATTTAATACAAACTTTCCTAATGTTGCCCCCAAATTCAGATTCCCTTGATGTCAGTCTTTGCTACTATTTGAGCTAATTTTTTAGGTGGCTAGAGGATTCCCTTTAAAACATTTCCCTTTGGATAACTTGCATTTCCCCAAAAAAATGAGTTCACCACATCATATGCCTAAAGGCTAGATAGGTAATATACTATTCTTTTCCCATGCTCTTGAATAGAATCCGATCACTCATTTTAAATTCTTCCACTTTTATATTGTAATTCAATATACCCCAAGAATAAGTCATTTGTGTTTAGTAAGAATAGGGGAAGGAGTGAATTTCAATTGTCATCGTGTATTTATTTTGAAATATTTCTACTCTATAGATGGAAATGCACAGTAACTGAATATCTCATCAAGTAAGTGTTTCAGTTTTATTTCACTATCTCTTCAGATGGTAGCAAGATTTAACTGGACATAAAGCAATTTGGGTCCAATTTTCTTTCAGATTATGGTACCAAATTAAAGCTTTGTGTGTGCCTTTGTTTTTTAAGTATATAGCTTCTGTTATGGCTCTACACGCTAATGAATAGGCATTTACTAGTTAAATTAGAATTCTGTTAACGTGCCATGTTGCTTTCCCTAACGTTACTATACATTGCCTTTTTCCTTTTCCTTTTTCTTTTTTTTTTTTTTATCAAAGTTGCATTCTAGATCTATCATGTCTTTTTAATGGACTGAGATTAATCAGACAGCTGTGCTTCACTGCTCTGCAATTCTTTCCCTGTGCAGTACAGTTTAACACTCAGCAAAAAATTCATACTCTTTTTAATGAGCAGTTAAAAGTTTGGGGTCTCTAAGAAGCTTGCACTGTTGATCTTATCTGAATATTTGATTTACCAGAATCTCAGAAAATCTCTATGAAGAGACTAAAATATTTTACTTTTTACAGATGAAGCCTTTCCTGAGGTAACCCTATATGCCTATGGCAGAGCCAAATTTGATTTTTTTTATTTTTTTTTTAATGTCAGAGAGTCAGAGAGACAGAGGCAGAGGCAGAGGGAGAAGCAGGCTCCCCGCCTAGCAGGGAGCCCAATGCGGGACTCGATCCCAGGACCCTGGGATCATGACCTGAGCCAAAGGCAGACGCTTAACCATCTGAGCCACCCAGGTGCCCCTGATTTTTTTTTTTTTTTTAAGATTTTATTTATTTGACAGAGACACAGCAAGAGAGGGAACAGAAGCAGGGGGAGTGGGAGAGGGAGAAGCAGGCTTCCCACCGAGCAGGGAGCCCGATAATGGGGCTTGAACCCAGGACCCTGGGATCATGACCTGAGCTGAAGGCAGACACTTAACGACTGAGCCACCCGGGTGCTCCGCCAAATTTGATTCTTCAAATGCTGTTTTGGCTGAGGTTGCCCAGCCGTACTGTTCCTGCCAAAAGGAATATTATTAGGCTAGGAATGAGACTATATCCCCACTGTCTTGCAGATAGTAGGCCCTCTGTGAATATTTGTTTAAGAGTGAGTAATTGGCCTTTTGCCTTCCAGTTCATTCACTTCCTCTGGACAGTGAAGCAGATGGATCTCCTGTGAGTTAGGGTTCATTTTGTGCCAAAACTGATGTTTCTTCTGGTCAGCAGCAGAAAAGAAATTCCAAAAGCAAATACCCCTTAGCTATGGACGATAATATTTATGTGTTGCTTCTAGGTGCTAGCCATTTTTCTTGGTAAGTTTTTGCTTTGTTTTTTTTTTAAGATTTTATTTATTTGACAGAGAGAGACACAGTGAGAGAGGGAACGCAAGCAGGGGGAGTGGGAGAGGGAGAAGCAGGCTTCCCACCGAGCAGGGAGCCCGATATGGGGCTTGAACTCAGGGTCCTGGGATCATGACCTGAGCCGAAGGCAGACGCTTAACGACTGAGCCACCCAGGGGCCCCTCTTGGTAGGTTTTGATGTCAAATTGTTAAATACATGTGGAAACGAGATTGGATTTGGCCCCAGAAGGGAATGAGACACAACAGCACTGGGGTGTGTCAGGAAAACACACACCACCTGGATGAATGGTGAACTTGAATCCTTCTCTGACACACTGCACAAGATGCTTGGTTCTCATGTAGTACGGATTGCTACATAATAAAAATGGTCCAGGGGCATCTGGCTGGCTCAGTTGGGAGAGCATGCGACTCTTGATCTTGGGATCATGAGTTTGAGCCCCACACTGGGTGTAGAGATTACAAGAAAAAAAAAAGTTACTCTAGGTGGCTCAGTCAATTAAACAGCCAGCTCTTGATTTTGGCTCAGGTCATGGTCTCAGAGTCCTGGGATCACCCCGCTTCAGGCTCCCTGCTCAGCGGGGAGTCAGCTTCCCTCTCCCTCTGCCGCTCGCATGTGTGTGCATGGTCTCTCTCTCTCTCTCTCTCAAATAAATATTTAAAAAAAAATTAAGATGAAAGCCTAGGAGAAGCTTCTATCTCTAACACCTAAGACTAGATACCTTCTCTCCTTGGGAACTTAACTCTTTGCTATTAAACCCCTTACATACTAAAAATGTATTTTTCTTTATAACCCCTGAGGAATCAGGAGAGAAAAATTATCCTAGGTTAGGTAACAATCCTTAAACAGCCACAAACCTTTTTATCTTCTTAATAAAGTATCATTTTATGAATGCTGGTTGTTACAGAATTCTCTAGCTTCTTTGGAAAGAAACAAAAGAAATAGAAGATAGGACTTATCCCCTTAAGGAACTTAAGTATGGGTGGCGATTTTCTTGAATGCACATACATGAAGAGGGTTTGTTCACCTTGCACTTGATATGCTTTATCTTGTTGTGTTTTTATCAACAAATCTATTTACTAGATAAGTGTCTCAAAGCAGGTGATACCATATTAATTTTTATTCCCCTAATGTATGTTGTAACAGCTCAAAAAATATTACTGAATTAATGGATAGAACATATGAGAAGAGAAAAAGATCAATATAAGTTAATTGAAATTAATCCAGAATTGTCTGGAGATGTCAATTGTATAGATAGTCAATTCTGATTTTCTTCTCACTCATGAAACTGTTGACACAAGCAGTGTACAGTGATCTCTGTGTAGAATGTTTTTGATTCAATTAACAAGTTTCTGTGTGGGGCACCTGGGTGGCTCAGTCGTTAAGCGTCTGCCTTCTGCTCAGGTCATGATCCCCGGGTCCTGGGATGGAGCCCCGCATCGGGCTCCCTGCTCTGTGGGAAGCCTGCTCCT